GTGTCTGGAGATGAATGTAGAACTGGAAAAAATGTCTCAATCCATCACCCATGAAGAGAGTCTGAAGAGGAGCAAGGCTGACATTGGGCTGGCAGGTTGTAATCCAGCCAAAAGCATAGATACTGAAAATCAGCCAAAAATCATATGCAGACAGTCCCAAGCTGTTGGAACGACGGACCAGTTCGGGCTCTGATGATTGCGAAGACTAAGGGTTTCCAGGCAATAGAATAGCTTCTCCTGTTTATGACTGGAGTTGCAAACTCACCATGGGGGTGGGGCTCTGTTTCCACTCATCCCATTCAGAATCCAACAGCAAGAATCCAGAGGAAGCCAAAGAGCATATATTTTCCCAAGGGGCTGTGCACCTCCAAGGAATTGATGTTAAAGTTGCTGCCGTCATAACAGTCGGAAGGAAAAATATGCCAAAAAGCCAGGGCACATACACATGTGGGTTACCCCACCACTGCCCAAGTGCCAACTCCAGGGCTCAGCAGCATATTGATGTCAATTAAATATATGTATATAATATATAAATATATATAGATGTTGATTAAATATATATAACAATATATAACATTGTGTTTATGTTAATAAATATAAAGCATTACCATTTTTAAATTCAAATTTTTAACATTACCATTTTAAAATACAACTAATACAAAGGTTATTGTGTTTTATATATATATTTGTTGAGAATATACACAGCAGTACATACAATCCAACAAATTCTCCAATTAACTTAAAGAGGAAAAAGAATGAACCATTTCAAGATTTTATTTAGCCATTTCCCCAAGCCTGCATTCTCTTGAATGCCGCAACGTAGGAGCCTGGTGTTTCCCAGGCCACTAGAGACACATGTCACTTGTTCTTTTCTGGGAAAAGTTAGAGACAAATAAATTTTGTTCCTTCCTCTTCCACCTCTCCCCAATTTTTTTTGTGGGTTCCTATGGGCATGGCAGAACACACAAACTGTAAAATGGGAAGTGGGGCAGCGTTGGGCTCAGCCATGAAAAATAAAGGTCCTCTAGGAGCCACACACATTTTGTTCTGTTTTAATTGCTTCAGATCTTAGAGGGGCCCTTCCCCAGGCTGGAGCTTCCATCCACCCGCGGACAGCATGAAGTTTCCACGGTCTTTATTCCAGCCTCTGGGGCCAGAGAGCCATCATCGATGGTCAGGAATCCTGGGGGCCCAGTGGTTACGGTGGGGCTGCGACTGGCAGTTTGAAATCACCAGCCACTCTGTGGGAGAAATACAGGGCTTTCTACTCCTGTCCAGTTAGTCTCAGAAAGTGTCAGCAGCAGTTTTACCCTGTCAGTAGTGTGTGTGTGTGTGTGTGTGTGTGTGTGTGTCTCAGAAAGTGTCAGGGGCAGTTCTACCCTGTCAGTAGTGTGTGTGTGTGTGTGTGTGTGTGTGTGT